GCCTCCCCCACTACCTAATAACTGAGCTTCATCATGTCAGCCCTGTCCAGCTGCTCCTCCACTGGCCTCAGAGGAAGGGGGGTCAGAAGGAAAGGGAGTCTGCCAAGAAAAAGGGACCCTGGATATCACAGGCTACTATAGGCAGAAGGACCCTCCTCCCCCACCAGACTATGCTACCAACACTTTAATCGGGGTGGGGCCAAGTTCAAGGTCATAGTATTTTGAGATGGGGGCACCAATTGGAGCAAATCACAGTATTACCTTCCCCTCCATGATCCCCATCCCTAAAAGGCCAAGGGGCACAGGACCAAAAGCCTTCCAAGATCATCCTGTCTACACACAGTTTAACGTCTTTGCAGACAGGAAACAGATCTGGGAGAGCAGATTTGCCTAAGGACTTGAGGAATACTGAGGCACCTCTGATGGACAAGTTGGAGCTGGAGGCAGATAGGGAAAGGGATCCCTGGTGGGTGGCCCCAGGGAAGTTGTCAGACCTCTGCAGGCTCCCTATCAATGCTCAGTGGACCTTACGGAAAGCAGGGCCTTTGTGAAGAGAAAAGGACCCCAACAAAGGAGCTGGAGTTAAGGGAGGGGCAGTACCTTGGAAAGCTCAGAGAGGGGCTCTGGAACCTAGGAGGGGTAATAAATTCAAGAATTGGGGTTCAGGGGCATCTGGGTGGTCCAATCAGTTAAGTATCTGACTCTTGATTTCAGCTCAGGTCACAATCTAAGGGTCATGACAGAGCCCTGTGTCCACACTGAGGATGGAGCCTGCTTAGGATTCTCTCTCTCTCTCTGCCCTCCCCCACCCGGCTTGTAAGCATGTGCTCTCTCTGAAAAACAAAACAAACCAAACAAACAAATGAAAAACAGGGTCTAGTGTAGTTGACATGGGGGTGATTCTCAACCCAGCAAAGGACAATCACTCTGCTTAGGTGGGCTGGGGTGACTAGTTTGCTGAGTACTAAGGCAGCCCTGAGGCCCTGAGCTCTTTGCGCACAGGGTCCCCTGGGGCCTGACCCAGCCACACTCTTCCAGAGAGAGAACCTAGAATGGGGAGGGCTCCAGCATAGAAGATGAGCAGGAAACCCGAGCTACTGTCAGGATTGAGTCTCACTCAGTTGTGCAACCTTGAGGAAAGCACTTCACCTTTCTGGGAGGCTGCCTCCTGGTATAAAATATAGACAGGAGCTCCTCACTTAGTCTGCCTCACAGAGATGAGAGGAGCAAGCCAGAGATTTTTAAAATGTTATCTCATCCAATAAATGTTCCCTGGTACCTTCTCCATGCTGAGCTCTGGGCTGACGACACAGGAGAGCAGCCAGCCCTGAGTCCCAGGTGCTGACAGTTAGAGGGGTCAGAGGAGTTCCAACCCTCTGGTTGCTAAGTGAAATTCAAAGGAGAAAGAAGGAGCCATGAAAGCTTCCTGAAAGGGACAGAACTCAAGCCAAGCCCTGAGGATCAGTGGGCTGGGCTGAATAAACAGTCAAGGGGAGAAAGAACCCCAAGCGGGGCAAACAAACTGAGCAAAGATACTTCCACTGGATGCATCAGAGAAGGAACACAGCCCCAGACACAATTAGACATACATTTATTGAACACTTACTGCATACAGAATACTGACAAGATTGAGGGAAGTTTCTCCAGAGAACAGAAACCCCTAAATGGCTTACAGACTTTGTTCCAGGGGAACCTGAACAGAGAAGGGGAACAGCTGCATGAAGAGGGGAGGGCAGGGAGGCTGGGAAGAGGCATTCACAGGGACAGCAAGTAGAGACTCATTCTTTGTACCATCTACCACGAACTTGCTATGCTGGGGGAGGGAGGAAGATGGAACAGCGAGCAAAATGACATGGGAGCTAATTAGTCCCAGAAAAGTTTAATGCCTCATCCAGTCAAATGGTAAAGGACCCCAGACCCTAGATGACATGGCCTTTCTTGTTTCAAAGCACTTTCCATTCACTTTGTCACGATGACCTTGAGAAGATTAGGAAGGATAGGATTTCAGAAGCCCATCTACTTTCCAGAAGTAGAAGTCGACATCCCAGAGGTGGAGAGAGGTCCAACGTCACATCACATTCACTCTGGCATCTGTTGCTGGCTGGGTTCAGCTTCCTGGGGTCAGGATGAGATTTCCTGGTGCACTGGCCCTTCTCGGATGCAGCCACTATCTTGGAAAAAGCCTTGGGCAAGGAGCCTGGGGCTAGGCTAAGCCCTGACAGCCACTGGCTTTGAGGCAATTCCCTGGCCCTCTGGCTTCAGACTCCCCACTTATAAAAAACAGTCACTGCCTTATTCTCTGGTACCTGATGGTTCTAGGTTCTCTCTGGACCTCCTTTCTCCAATTGAGATGTCTAGTACTCCCCAGTCAGTTTATGGCCATACCACCCTGAACATGCCTGATCTCGTTTAGTACCCCCCAGTCAAGGCTGCCTGCTGCCCTGCAGCACTTTCCCAAGGAGACCATTAGCCCACCAGGAACCAGCCAACAAGGGGCCCTGGAGAGGGGGCTCTGGCCTTGGCAGCTGGTCTGTTGATTCTCCGGATGCTGAAAGCAGAAGGGGCTCTATGCAGTGGGAGAGGAAAGCAGAGACCTTTCCATTCATTCATCCATCCATCCATCCATCCATCCTTCTACAAGCACTTACTGCACATTCGCTCATGTTAGTCCCCACAGGGAAAAGGAGCCGGTGCCTCTTGCCAGGGAGATGTCAGAGCTGGGGCTTGGAGCTGACGTGGGCCAGAGCTCGGGGGAGCACAATAGCTGAGGGCACAGCCCCAGGGGCTGTCTGAGCACCTGCATCCATACGAGCAAAGGTAGCTCAGTCTGTTACTTATACAGACCAAGGGCATAGTGGAGGTCAGGAATGGGCTCAGAGCATGTCGTCTAGTCTCTGGATGCATGTGCTTGCATGCATGTGTCTGTAAGCTTGCCCCTCTGGGAATGTCCCCAGGAACCTACATGGTCCCAGAAATACGAGTGTTCAAGTATTTACGTGCTTATGAGTGTATAGACACATACCAGGATGGACTCAAATCTGTGTTAACATGTGCACCTGTATAAACGAGCCTGCATATACCTGTGTGAAGCATATCTGAGCTTGCCTACAACCCTGTGTGGGCCTGTACCCACCGGCCCATGCACGTGTATGCACATCCAAGGAATCGGGAATGTGTGTTTCCTCACATATGGATGCATCTTGAACTGTTCATGTGTCACACATGCCTCCACATATACAAGCACGTGTGTGCGTGTACAACCTACATGTACACCTTTGTAGACACGTCCAATCCTGCAGGAGCAAATTACAGTTTTCACCTGCCAATACCCGGGAGTGATGACGGTGATGGGGAGAGAGAAGGAAGGCGGAGAGGAGCCCCTGCCCCCCACCCCAGTATCAACAGATCTGGCCTGTGAGGTTGGTCTTTGCCTAGGGCCCAGGCCACCACAGGGTCTGCCTCTTCTCCTTAAGTGGTATTGATCTCTTGGTCAATCTGTTAAATATAACCTCAGGGAAGAAGTCAACCCAACAATTGTCCCTAATTCAGGAAAAAAGACTGACTGATTGTTATGGGGGGGGGGTGAGAGGGGGGAGCCTCTATCCCAACCAGCTCTGCTGATACCAGAATGGCCTGTGGATCAAGTGTCAGCCTCTCCAGCCTGAATAATTCATGCCAAGACCAGGAGTGCTCCCTTCTCAGGAGCATATCTCTTTAAATCAAGTCTGGAGCTTCCCAGTTCTGGAAAAAAAAAAAAAAAAAAAAAAAAATCCAGAACAAAACAAACCTATAAACAGCTCATGCCCTGGCCCCCTCTGAGACCACCCCCCCCCAATGCTCAAAATCTGTTAGCTTCTCCAAATCTCTAGAGCTCCAAACCCTCCCACCCTTTCAACATTTACAGGTGGGATACCCTGGAGGGGAGGAGGAGCAGTCCAACAACCCCAGGGGCCTGAGACCGGGTGGAATAAGCTAATGGGGTGCCCAGGTGCTGGAGCAGGGAGGGGACCGCAAAGAGCTGAATCACCACACCCACCAGGTCCTAGGGCCTAGGAGAGTGCCTGAGGGAGGAGTCCAGCCTGGTGGAGGAAACCAGATGGAAGAACTCCCAGCAGAGCAGCCTGTGAGTTGGAGGGGAGTGGGGGGCGCGGGGAGGGGTTGTTGCTTTCTTTCCTGAATGGTGGGCGGATGGGGTTGAGAAAACGTTGGTCCCACAGGACCTGCAAAAGTGGTGACCCAGCCAGGCTTAATGTAACTGGGGTTGCTGAGGGGTGGAACCAGGGCTGGGGATTTTCCAGTCTCTGCTAGCACAGCTCTCTCCTTGGTCACACAGATCAGGAAGAGGCTGAAAGATGAATAACTTTCTTAGCCCACCCCTCATCCTTGCCTGTGCTTGTAGGGGGAACCCTAAGGTCCTCCCCCCCAGTTCTTGCTCTGTGGTGCTGACCCACCTGCCAGCTCTCCCCCGCTCGGCCCCGCCCCACACGTGCCGTAGAGGGAGGAGGAAGGAACCAGCTTAAACGTGGGGGGGGGGGGATGGGGGAGATGAGGGGAAAAGCAAGTCAGAGCCTGGGAGAGCCAAACTTCTCAGCAGCCCCGGAGCCTGAGAGGGGGATAGAGAAAGCGCAGCGGCCGATAGCCCTGATTCTCGGGAGCCTCCCACCCCGCCTTTCGGCGAGGAGGGCGCGGAGACTCCGTTGAGGGGAGGAGGAGGAGGCCGGGAGGCTGGGAGGCTGGGAGGGCGGGGGGTGGGGGGGGGGGGGGAAACCCCCCGCCCACTCGGCTGGGAGCCCGGAACGGCCGCGGAAGTCGGAGGCCGGCGCGCAGGGCGAGGAGGGCACCGGGGGCGGGGGGCTCTGCTCCCCGCCTGATCCCTCTCGCCCCAGCCAGGAAAGTGAAGGCTCCTCGGACTTTAGAGCCCGCGAACGGACCGACCGCGACCGCCAGCAGCTCTGGGTCAAGGACTTGCCCCGCCCGCCCCCCTCCCCGCCCCCAAGGCGCTCCGAACTCACTGGTGAGCGCGACGGCCCGGGCCCTGGATGCGGGGGCAGCTGCGATGGCCCCGCGCGCGGGACAGCCGGAGCAAAGGGGGCCGCTCCTGCCGGGGCTGCTGCTGGTGGCGGCGGCGCTGAGCCGGCCCGCCGCACCCTGCCCCTTCCAGTGCTACTGCTTCGGCGGCCCCAAGCTGCTGTTGCGCTGCGCGTCGGGCGCGGAGCTCCGGCAGCCGCCGCGGGACTTGCCGCCCGACGCGCGCAACCTCACCATCGTGGGCGCCAACCTGACGGTGCTGCGCGCGGCCGCCTTCGCCGGCGGGGACTCTGACGGGGAGGAGGCGGCGGCGGGCAGCGTGCGCCTGCCGTTCCTGAGCGCGCTGCGCCTCACGCACAACAACATCGAGGTAGTGGAGGACGGCGCCTTCGACGGGCTGCCCAGCCTGACGGCGCTCGATCTGAGCCACAACCCGCTGCGCGCCCTGGGCGGCGGCGCCTTCCGTGGGCTGCCCGCGCTGCGCTCCCTGCAGCTCAACCACGCGCTGTCGCGAGGCGGCCCCACGCTGCTAGCCGCGCTGGACGCCGCGCTCGCCCCGCTGGACGAGCTGCGCCTCCTGGGCCTGGCGGGCAACGCGCTGGGCCGCCTGCCGGCCGCCGCGCTGCGCCTGCCGCGCCTGGAGCAGCTGGACGCGCGCCTCAACGCGCTGGCGGGTCTGGGCCCCGACGAGCTGCGCGCGCTCGAGCGCGATGGCGGCCTCCCCGCGCCGCGCTTGCTGCTCGCGGACAACCCCCTGCGCTGCGGCTGTGCCGCGCGCCCCCTGCTGGCCTGGCTGCGCAACGCCACGGAGCGCGTACCCGACTCCCGGCGCCTGCGTTGCGCCGCCCCGCGGGCGCTGCAGGACCGGCCTTTCCTGGACCTGGATGAGGCGCGGCTGCGCTGCGCCGACGGCGACGCAGACGGTCGCGGCGAAGAAGTGGACCTCGCCGGCCCGGAACTCGAAGCCTCCTACGTCTTCTTTGGGCTGGTGCTGGCGCTCATCGGCCTCATCTTCCTCATGGTGCTCTACCTGAACCGCCGCGGCATCCAGCGCTGGATGCGCAACTTGCGCGAGGCCTGCCGGGACCAGATGGAGGGCTACCACTACCGCTATGAGCAGGACGCCGACCCGCGCCGCGCGCCCGCCCCGGCCGCCGCCGCTGGGTCCCGCGCCACCTCGCCGGGCTCGGGCCTCTGAGGGTTGCCCCTCCGGGGTTGACGGCTATCCCTGCCAGCTGATGACTTTACTGGGATTGCCTGGCCTGAATCATGGGTGAGACGCCCGCGAGTTGGGGGCTTTGAGACTTGCTCCTGACCAGCCTGAGACCTTTGGATTATGGCATTCCCCCACCCCACCCCCACCCGGAGGCCCCAAGCTGTATCCCTTCTCCCCAACCTCTGAGAGCTCTCACCATCAAGGATCAAGAGACACCCCTGCTGATTCCAGAAACCCTATCTGCCCATCTCAGGCTCGGACACATCCTTCCCGAACCCTCAAAAGCACCCTCCCCCTTGAGAGACTTGGCTAGGAAACTTTGTCCTACCATCCGAAAGCCCCGGGACTGCCTCCCACCACCCTATGCTTTGAGGCCTGACCTCTCTGGGAAGCATCACCTTAGACATTACTGACCCGCATCTCCAGCTTGGAGACCTCAATTCCTTTCCCAGGCCTCAGGGACCCTCTCATCCCATTCTGGTCTTGGAAGCAGAGCACCCCTCTGAAGGCTTTTGTGGGCTTTGAGCCTTTTTTCTCACCCCGGAGCTCTGAGCCTTCCCATCATCCAGACACCCACATCCCAGTGCTCTGAGGGTCGGGCACCCTCCCCCAGTCTGGGGTTGTATTTCATACTGTCCCCGCCACTGCAGCTCTGGCTCAGGCTCTTCCCTTCCTTGACCCAGGCTTGGGGCTCAGCTCCATCTGTCTCCTATCCCAGGGACAGTCACACCCTATTATAGCCTTAGTATGGAACAGATCCTCAGCCTTTCTCACTGGGGCTCTGATCCCCCAATACTCAGTGCTTGTCCCTAATCTCAAGACTCTCAGCTCTTCACCCTGATCAGAGTTTAACCCCCCTGTCCAAGTCTTAGACTCTCTAGCCCCCCTACAATGCTTGCATTCACTGGGGCAGGGTCCAGTGAGGAATCCATTCCCGGGTTGCCCACCTCCCCTTTCCTCCTGGGAGGAGCTCTCCAGACCTGCAAGACAGGTGCTGAGGCCAAGCATCCCCCAACCATACTGGCAGATCCCCATGGAGGAGGAGAGAGTCCTAGGGGTTTAAAGCAGTTGGTTGGGCCTCAGAACCGGGATCACCCATACATCGTGGCCTCAGAGAGGGGTACGGGTGAAGGCTCTGAAGGGCTGGGTGCTGCTGCCTGCAAGCTCTTTCCCACCCCTGTGACTCTTCTCCCGTGGGGATCCCTTGCTGCCATGCCCCCCACCATGCCTTTTAGAAGAGGTGAGGGGCCTCATCTCTTGTCTCAGGCACAAGTCCTCCTGTTTAAGGTCAGAGCCTCAGTGCCCTGCCTTCTGCATGATCCCAAAGCACAATTGGTGAGTGGGGAGGGGGCTGCCCCTCCCTGACTCCCATCCCCTAGGTCAGGCAGAATGGCTGGCCTGTGCTGCCTCTGCACACAGGAAGTCCCCCCTCCCCAATATACTGGCTTGAGGCCTGCCTTCCCATCCCCTCCCAAGACATCTGGATCTCCCTTGGGCAGTTTTCTATAAAGTCTGCAATAATCTCCGATACTCTACCCTTGTAAGTGGTGCCATTTCATTCCTGCTGACCTTGGGGTGTTGAAGGAGGTGGGAGGGGACACTTGGGAGAGCATTTGGGACCTCCCTGAGGTGAGGCAGTCACCTTTTGGTGTCTTCTCCTGGCGTATGGGAGAAGAAAAAGGCTCTGACTGCGTGTAGCAAGATTGAGGTGAGACTCATGGAGGGACTTCCCACTGGGATTGCATCACTCTCCAAACCAGCCTGCCTTTTATCCTCCGAGAGGGGGCTATCCATAGCCAGAGTGACATCCTGCACTTCCTCTACATCCTTCTACCCCATCACTCCTCATCACTGCGGTGGGGGGGAGGCTGGGGGGGGAGGTGCCATTGGACTGGAAACATTAATTAGCATCAGATGAGGCCACCAGGGAGGAAATCCAGCTACAGAGAATCAGAGGCAGTTAAGTCAGGCAGGAAAGGAGGGATCATTATTTAGTGCTTTGGTGTCATCCCCTCTGATGAATTATCCGACACTCCCTTATAACTTGTGTCGTGCTACGCTGTCCTGGGGAGAGGACTACAGACTGTACCTCGGGTACATGAGAGGCTGAGAGGGGGTGGGTGTGGATAAAATGACCCCTTGAGATACGGGGATTGAGGAGACAAGTGAGTTCTGGGCCAGCAGGGCCATGGTAAGAGATTTATTTCCTGCCTCAGGGTCCCCAGACTGGATCATCTCACATTCAGTTTCTCAGACCCCTAGAACCTCACGGCAGAAGGCTAGTATTCTGGCACTTGTGCATCTTAGAGTCACATAATGGTAGAATTTGTGCCTTTTAGACACTGGAAAGGACCTCAGAGATAATGTGGGAAGCCTCCTAGACCCTCTCAACAAGGGGCACCCTCTCTTGATGGGGGTGCACTTCCTCCCCTCTTGAGAACATCTCTTTCATTGCCAGGGGCGTCTGCCTGGAATTCCCTGACAGCCCCGGCTATGCCTTGGGCCCAGAAGTATACCTCACCCAGCACTGCTCCTCACAGAGTTGGAGACTCCCAGTCATTCCTCGTGAGAAGGGCTCAAATTCCCTTGAAGCGATCCCACCTGTGAATGACCTTCGGAAGGCACTCTCCGGGTTCTCCAGGACAAAATGGAAGGCTATCTCTAACACAGGTTAGAGACCTGTGTGTCTAACAGGTCACCTCCCCAGTTCCAAAGACATGCCCTCGTAATGTAGCCCGAGACTACAGTAGGTCTTGGCAAATAAAACATGGTGTCCGCTGTGGGTTCAATGTCAGCAAAAATTTTTGAGGGTTTTGTAGGAGAGCTGCTGCTAAGCTAAGTACCAAATGAATAGTTGTCAAAAATCAACTAATTGAGTGCCTAGTGTATGCCAGTTGATATTTAACCTTAGTGCCATTCACCAATTCCCATTAAATGTCCTTTTTGGGGTGCCACCCTTCTTGCAGCCCATCAGTGACTTTAGCCTGATGGGACTATCAGTACGGCCCTTGGGCCCCCAGTCTTTCTTCCTTTGCAAATCCAGCCAGCCATTCCTCCTCTACTGACTACAACTTTGCCAGTTCTAGGGAAGCTGATGACCCAGGGAGAATCATATATTTTTATTTATTTTTAACAATTTTTTATTAACATATAATGTATTATTTGCCCTAGGGGTACAGGTGTGTGAATTATCAGTCTTACACAATTCACAGCACTCACCATAGCACCTATCCTCCCCAGTGTCCATCACCCAGCCATCCCATCCCTCCCCCCATCCCCCACAACCCTCAGTTTGTTTCCAGAGATTAAGAGTCTCTTATGGTTTGTCTCCCTCCCCGGTCCCATCTTGTGGGAGAATCATATTTAATCACGGTCTAGAGAAAAGAAGTCCCGGGAAACAGAGCTTAGAGTAAGGGCCTCTGACCCAGCCTAGGGAGACTTCTACTTAGAGGAAGTTCCTCGTGAGCAGAGTTTTGAAAGATGAGTAGGATTCTGAACAGAAGGATCAACGGTATCCACTCTGTGCAAAGCCCTGGAGGCAGGAAGATCTTGGTAGTCTGAGAACGGGGAAGTCCACCAGTGGCTGGGGTTCAGAAGGTGGAGGTGTGTGCCTGAGATGGATCCGTGCTCCCCACCTTCTTCACTGGGAGGCTCTAGAGGGACCTCTGCCCTTGGAGGACAACTCAGGGAAGTGGGGACTTGGAATATGAGAAGCAGGAGAGCTGCCCACTGCCTCTCACTTTTGCTTCCTTCTGTCCATCCTTTTTATGCCAGACCTCATGCTGGGCACTGAAGACAGAGGAGTCAGACAAAGCCATGCCCATGGGAGCCCAGATGGGAGGGGGACAAGTGCAGTGGCTATTTTAGGAGCCCAAAAGAGAAAGGAAAGGGTGATGTGGAGGGGTCTGGCTGGCCCTGCCCTGATACCCTGATGTCACCCACCACTCCAGCCACTCTCAGCAACACCCAAGCCTCACCAAATGACCAGCCTCCCCATCTACCCCAATGCTGCTAATGCTGCTGGAAGTCTGAGGGGGGCAGGGTGGTGCAAGGGCCAAGTGCTAAGCGGGGAAGAACTCCATCTCGTATGTCCCCTTAAGGAGCAGCAGAGGGGCGGAGAAAGGGGTGTAACTGCCAGAAATGTGATAGACAGGAAACTACACACTTTGAGAAACGTGTCAGACTTCGCAGGGTCTGTGGTCCTATAAAAGCTGAGCTTTCCTCTCAGAAACAAAGGGAAGCCATGATCACTATCTCCTCAAGAAGCCTTTTACTTCTGCCGCCCCTTTCCTCCCCCACACCCCTCAGGTCCGGTGTGGGAACTGGTAAGCGCCCAGCTAGAGTCCAGAGGACTGGGTTTGGGTCTGAGTTTCGCATGACTTGCCACACCATTTGGTCCTCAGTCAAAAGTACTGGTTGAGCCCCTACTGTGCGCTGGGTGCTGGGGATTCAACAGTGAACAGAGCCGCTCCTGCCTTCCTGGCCCAGGCCAGGGTGTTCATGTACACCCCAGGCCCCTCTCTGATTCCAGGTTCCTTTTGTCCAGGCTGGAGCTGGACCTGTGACCTCCAGAGGGACTGCCTGCTCTCACTGAAGTTCACCTCCTTCTTCATTAAGTCTCTGACTGGCAGACTCACGGCCCTAATTTATGGACACAGCCTTTGCCAGACTGGGAGAAGTGATGGGACAGTTAATATTCCTGCGGTAATGTGCTTGGCAGCCTTTGGAGTCCCCTCCTCCACCCTCCCACCCCCCCTCACCACTCCCCTCCTCCCTCAATGCTGCCTCAGGCCAGCTCACTTGGGGCTGGCTAATTCCTTGCAGACCACCCCCAACTAACCCTTCATAGTACTCATGGGGAAATTGAGGCACAGGAAGTGCAGGAGCCCATCCAGAATCGGAGCAGATCCAGAACCCAGCATGGCCCCGGGACCATCCCTGTCTTGCTCTGGGTCTGAGTGTCTGGCAGGGCTGTCCTATCTTCTCACCCTCTATCTCCACCCCTCTGTCATTGCCTCCTGCAGCCAGACCCACACCTGTGGCAGCTGGGAGACAGGGGGCGGTGGGAGGAGGAAGCCAGCAACAAAGGGCTGTGGAGGACTTCTCAGCCTCCATCAGGCCTTGGAAACCTCCCTCAGCCTCTTATGGGCAGAAACCCTGATGGGCATCCTTCCCCGGGGGAGGGGCATCTCTATCCCTCCCTGAGAGGAGAGAGGGCTTTGTTCTGGAACCCCAAGCTCCATGGTCCCCAGATATAAAACTCCTCCTTCCTGAGCCTCTACTTTCTGCTGAGCACCCAATGAGATGGGCCAGATCCTACAGCTGTCCCCAGTAAAGACGAGGTCACTATAATAATGGAAGCACATGCGGCCCCTAAATAAGGGGACCAAACAGTCCAGGAAACTTCAGGGAGTGAAAGCGGCCACTATTAAGAGTTAAATTGGGACAAGAACAATTCAGGACTGTACCAGGCTGGTGGGCCTGGGACTCCAGTGACTTTTGACAAGACTGGAGGGGAAAAGAGAAAGTGCTAGACTGCTAGACTAGCTAGTCTACCAACACTAATAATAATACACTCCCAATCCTTGACCTTATCCTCCAGCCATGCTGAACACCTTCTTCAATGCCGTTCTCCAGCTACAGCAAATGACTCCGATTTAAATACCCAAGCCCAGTGATTCCAGGCCCCATGTGCCTTTGCTCACGTAGCACTCTCTGCCTGCGATGCCTTCTCTATGCAGAGAGCTTCAGGACAACTTGAGTCCCCTCTGCTGTCCTAACCTCACCTTTCTTCCCATCACTGTCCCCCACGCCCTGACCTTTATTTGTATAGATCAGTTTTCTGTCCCATTGTCCACACCAGATGAGAAGTTTCCCTTGGGGGCTGGGTTCCCTTTTGGTGACCCCCAGTCCTGGGGCACAGAAGATTTACCGGCACTGTCCCTGCCCCACAGAGATCCACAGCACCAGGGAAGAAACATCACACAGGGCTCGTGGCCTCCCTCTGCTGCACTCAGATCTGAGCTCATTCCCTTTTTTTTTTTTTTTTAAAGATTTTATTTATTTATTTGACAGACAGATATCACAAGTAGGTAGAGAGGTAGGCAGAGGGAGAGGAAGGGAAGCAGGCTCCCTGCTGAGCAGAGAGCCCAATGTGGGACTCGATCCCAGGACTCTGGGATCATGACCTGAGCCAAAGGCAGAGGCTTTAACCCTCTGAGCCACCCAGGCGCCCTGAGCTCATTCCCTTTGACTCCCATAACCTCCCACCTCACCCAACTGAGGTTGTGGTTATATAAGATGCCTGCGTGGCCAGCTCCCTGTCACTATTTGATAAAAGTGAGAAAACAGAAAGAAAACGCAGCTATAGAATATGTTACCGTGTACAACATAATTCAGCCTTAGCTTCTCAACCTTGGCTTTTTAGTGTGGTGACAACTTTCGGGCCCTCCATTTGAAACACTTGTCTGGTATCCTATCTGGGTAACGTAGCTCAGCCTGTCACAGGTCTTGGTTCCTTTAC